GATATAAGGAAGTTGAGATGGAGGATTGTGAATTGAAAAATGCAGTTGATATTGGGGAGAGTAAACAAACAAAAGAGGAGGAGCACAAGCAGGCAGGTAAAAAAATTGTAGAGATGGTTAAGCAGGAAAATGAAAAAATTGTAGAAATACTTCAGCAAGAGAGTGAGGAAACAAGGGAGAACGTTGAGCAGAATGTTGAAAATATTGTGGAAAGTGAAGGGATGCATCAGACATGTATCATTGTTAAGCATGATGTGGTGGAGGCGATACCTCATGAGTACGAGGAACCATATTTTGTTTTTGGAGAAGCTAACAGTTTCAACCGTGCTTTGCTTAATTCTTTCTTACATGTTGATATCTGTACTTGGGAGTTTATAACGCAACAAATATGGCTGATTGAATTCATGCTGCAATACGTTCATATCTACAAAGTTGATGGGTGTCATGCATTGATCCTATGCTAGGAAGGAAAAAGTTTTCCATTTGATCCAGGTGGTACGGTGATAAAACTTTTAGCAGGTTGGTGCACGGATTCGAGGACGAATCCTTTCGAAGAGAAAGGAGATGATATGATCCGGGACATGCAATACATAAAAGATATGAGTTTTTTTTTTTTTTTTTGCGAGTTTCCTTATTTCATTAGAGTTTTAATTTGGATGAATATTTTATGTAATATTTTAGCATCAATTTCGTGTAGACTAGGGTTTTAGGCTTTTCCTATAAATATTGACATTATATTCATTGTATGGACAACCTACANTAGCATCAATTTCGTGTAGACTAGGATTTTTATAGTTTCTTGTAAACAGTTCTCATATTAGTCATTGTAAACATATATTATTTTGATTATTATTGTCATAATTGAGGTTTCTCTCTCCGTTGGTTCTTGATTGAACTTTCGAATTTATCGAATATTTTTAATATTTGTGGCGTTCAAAATCTTAAAACTTATCAAATGATTAGGCACCATTTATGGCGTTCACAAATAGAGGTTCTTGTTTCCCATATCAACGAGTTTAAGGTTTAATACACCTTAGGTTCTTGATTCGTGAGGCTCGGGTCAAAATTTTATCCTCTACAACCTGAATTTAGACTTTCCCGACGTTTTCGACTAATTTCACGAGTTCCACGCGATTCCCCTTCCCGGGATCACGTCAAAGCACTAAATTAGTTTGGACAAGATTTTTTGGACAACTATGAATAAATTAATCCAGATAGACTAATTATAAGTTAAAAGAAGTTTTAATTATCTTACTTTGATCAGGTTAATAATATCAGGACGTTTTCCATCGTGAATAATAATCTAATGGATCGCATACAAAATTCGACTATTGCAAATTTAGAAGTGATGTTGGACATCGTCTTTGAGATTGTTGGATCAATGTACTAGGTGTAGTTGGATTCGTTTAACAATTGTGAGTCAAATTGAATTAGTTGGACTTGTTGACTTTTGTCCTATTAGAGTTATATTTTGCAGTAATCTACAAATACAAATCTAGATTTAGCATTTTTTAGACTTGACATAATTCATTGCTAGCACTAGAGAATGGTTTAGCATTTTTTGAGACTTGACGTAATCCTAAACATAATTCACTCAAAAGATCAACTGGTGATCGTGTTCTGTTCGTACTATTGAAGTTTCAATTTGTTCTCGTAGTGTGAATTCGTGTAAGAGGTTAGACATCTTGACAACTATTGTTTGTTGAGATAGTGGTAGATTAGATTCAAAATGATCCCAAATTAAGAAAAATAGCCAAAGATATACCTCATATGACAAATTATATCTAAACACTAAAGGGATCCCATCTTTTGAGTATTGAAAATTGAAAATTGTTTTAATTTCACGGTTTAAATAATACAAACACTAACATTATCAAGTTTTTTCTACTACAATTCGCCGAACATATTAAGGACAACATACGTAGGCTCATAGCAACAACGTGTAATTATTAATCAACACACAATTCGGAATGAGAACGGACAAAATAGAAACTAACGGTGCAATGAACAAAATCTCCCCGTACACCAATCAAGCAACAAATGAATTACTTGCTTTTAATTTAACAACACAATAATTTTCAATTTTTTTGTATAATATGGTACTTGTTAAATTATCCCAATTAAACAGTTGAGTTGTGACAACTTTTGTTACAAGGATAAGGACAGTCAATCTGTTGAAATTGACTTCGATCGTAAAACCAGTCTCCAACTGCTTTTGCAATTGTCTGCATAAAAAAGTTTATTTTGTTATTTCATTTTTGCACAAAGGGACTATGAAAACACCCTTAAAAAAATGTAATCGTGAAATTCTTAACAAACATTAACCTTGTTGTTTAAGACGGGAGAGTGGGTCCCAAACCATGTTTCCCCTTCAGTTTGGCCATGTGTGTAGCAGGAATTTATGTAGTACCCTCTAGATGTAGAGGCACCGATTCCTTTCAATGCATTTATAAATGCCAATCTGAAACCTGGAAACCACATTAAATAGAAACAACATCAGTTCAATTCCAAGTAAAACGCCAGTTGAAAATTGTAGATAAACAACCTATCTTACCTTGAATTTTTTGGAACTGACTGGGGGAGCAATTGCTAATATTCCTCTTGCAATTGAGCCAAGTATGATTTGGATCCGAAATATTAGGAGCCAAAATGTTCCTTATCTTGAAAAATTAAGGATGTCAAAAGAATCAGATATAACAATAAAAATGCTCATGTTATTGAGATCCGATACATACTAACCTGCCATGAATCATATGCAGAATTTGTAACAAAGAGTGGCGTCTGGATTTGTTGTGCAATGTTTTGAGGGAAAAAACACTAAAATTTTTTGTCCTATAATTAGGAGACGAGTTTATGTCATGGTGCAAAACCATTCAATCTAGTCAAGAAAATTCCTCTTACCAATCCGGGTTTCCCTTTTGATGTACACGACGATGGCAAATTCTTCGCCGCTCCCTGCATCCAATTCAATGATAAAAATGCAATCACAATATTATCGAACTACTGTTCAATAAGCATACAAACTATTATATACAGAAGAAAATTCATACATGTGTCATGACAACGTTGTTGTAGTAATCCTCGATATATGATGCTCCAGAAATATCTTTCCTGTAGAAGAGGATAACAAATGTTAGTTTTTCTTAAAATAGATGAACACAATTCTTCTGGACATCAAATCTTGTTTAGTTACAAGGCCCTGTTTGAAAGCTTACACATTTATGAAATAACCAGCATCTGAAGTGCACTTTACTTTAGCGCCCTTGGGAACAAGAGATCTGAAGTTATCGCAATGCAAAATTGATGTCAACCCACCAGCTGAACTTCCGGACAGAATAGCCTGCGTAAGAATACTCCAATTTACAAATGTTTGATTCAGTGAAAAATGGAGTAATATCCACAAGAAAAAAAACCGTACATTTTCAGCATTCTTCATTCCTTTCTCCAGTAGCTCCTCCATGACAGCAAGAAAAATCCTTGCTCCTCTGAAGTAAAGTTTGGTGGCCTAATTGATTTTCACAAGAAAAAATTATACCAAGAAAACCATCCAGCACTGTAGCTTCCAAAAATGTCATTAAATTGTATCATCTATCGACTTCAAGAAAGCTCAATAAAAAAATGAGGAAAATAATCTTTTGAAGATATATATTGTGATGACTTACAGGATCCACTTCTTCTACATCCCCAGTAAACGATGCACCGTCACAATATCTAACCTTGATCCTATTCCAATTATAGAAATCTGGATATTTACATGAGATAATATCATTTAAACACTACATTAAAGAAGATAAATAAAGTCCAAGTATAAATCAAAATCCAAATCAATCAAAAGATTAAAGTATACCAGGGTTAAACTTTGGCTCATTGCCTAAAATCCCAGAGAAAACAAGCTGTTTAGCCATGTCCTTGGAGGAACCTTTTTTTAGGTTCTTATGAGCTAGGCAAGTTGTGATATTATTACACCATCCTCCTCCCTGAACATTGAAGACAAACACATTTTACTTTCTCCTCAATAAAAATCAGCTAACATAACTAATTTATATTTTAATATGATATTAGCATTGTGCAGTTAAAAAAACTTCAATAGCTTGAGACAAGTGGACTAACCTCAATATGAACCAACCAACTGTTGATTCCCGCCTCAGATCCTCTATCGAGATGGTACACTGGTGGAGTACCATCTAAACAAACTGCATATACAAAGAGCACAATAATATATAGTCAATCACATTTTTTCAGAAATGCGTAAAAAAAAATTAACATTAACATGGGGGGTGTTAATGTTTTACCAGCTCCTTTCGCTACAGCATTTTGAAGAAAAGTGCGATCAACCAAAACAGCTTTGGTCCTCAATACAATCAGCATGTAGACAAAAATTTGCAACATCATTGGACAACTTTGGCTATTATTCTACAGAAGACAAACTCAAACAGATCTTAGAAAAGAAAACAAATATTTTTTAAAACGTTGTGAATTGCAACCCAGAAAAATTTGTTTCATTGAGTACAGCTAGTGAAGGCATTGGATTACTTTCAGAAGAGGGGAGAATAGAAAAGGGGTGGAAAAGAAAGAGAAGAGAGACACAGGAGAGAGATGAGACACAGAAGAAATATGTTTGTATTCAATATCAATAGTCTAATTGTAAAGACACAACTTCGTAACAAATTTGACAAAAAGAGTATAAAATGAGAGAATCGCCTCAAAAGGTATGTAAAATTATAATTATGAAATTCTTCCAGTGGAATCCCTTCTTCTCTGGAATACCTAAATTGCAAAATAGTTAAATCATAAACTGAGGAAAGTGTTGAATGTGTTAAGGGCAGAGGAAGAATGTGAATTTTTCTAATATAAAGGGTTACTTGGCAAAGGATGCAGGAAAATAAAAAATATATAAGAATAACATTTCAAACGAAAAGCGAACCACAGAAAAATCTCCATTATTTTCAGTATCACCATTTCATGCAACAAAAGTGAAGTGTATACAGGCCTTACAGAAGTTCTAGATAAAGAACTGACAAAATATTAATACCCTAAATGAAAAAATGAAATTGCTCTAATAAAATCTATCCAATGCTTTCTACTTCGGCAGAACCAGTTTCAAATTTCTGAAAATTGACAAAGACTATCAAGATATGTTAAGCCACATAATATCAGCCAAATTACCTGCTTCCACTTTAAAAATTGACAACAATTCAGAGTGTAGGTAGATTGTGTGAATGAAACGCCACTGCAGAAGAAAGAGAAACGGTCTAGTTATATTGTGTGAATGAAGCGCAATACAAAAGAAACAGGAACGCCCAAGCAAATGCTGATGAAACAGGGCCAAAAATGGGCTATATATAGACATTCCAGTTGTCAGCCATGAAGTCTGGATTTGAATTCAGTAGATACCTAGGGGTATGTTTGACACCCATTAGAAAAATAAAAAATTGAAAATGAGAATGAGAATGAGAAAAAAAAAGGGTGTCAAACATAGACTAAATTTAAACCACGCATTCTCCAAAAAATACTATTTATTACTCCATTTCTTCTAGAATAATGGGAGAGAAACATCCAGTAAGTTTGTAACCCTAGCAATCAAAGATCCTTGAAATTGAAAGAATTATTGGAGATGAGAGGATCTTTACCAATAGTAAAGCATAAACCTAAAAAAATGAAAGAGACCCATCCAAGAATAAAAAAATGCCACCATGATTTGGATTGAATCTCGATGAAACAATATATCAATGAGAAGTTAATTCGATAAGTTTTGTGACTTTTTTCTATTATAAGGAAGAAAGAAGTTAGAATTCGTATGTATTGAAAAACNTAACCTTATCCTTCTCTACAAGTGGTGGAATTCGATAGGAGTACATTCAGGAACAATAAAATACTATCGTGATTTGGATTGAATCTCGATGAAATAATACATTAATGAAAAGTTAATTCAATAAATTTGGTGACTTTTTTCTATTATAAGGCAGAAGGAAGTGAAAATTCGTCTTTCTTGAAAAATCGAAGAAAACTTCATTTCTTTAGAAGCCAGAAAAAATCTGCTGCAAAAAAAATAATAGGAATTGGGAGTTCCCATCCCTAATCAAAAGAGCTATAGTTGTTAAAAAATTGGGAGTTCCCATCGTAACCATAATGTCAACGAATAAAGAACCAAATATTGGTAAATGAGCCAACTTCGTTAGCATATGTACAATATAATTAATAAAACGACATTAAGGTACAACAATTTATTGCATATTAATGAGAATATGTGGTTAAAAAGTAAGGAGAATGTGTGATTAAAAAGTACGGAACATTTTTGGGTTTATAAGTAATATTAGTTTATTGGTAGAACGTGTGATTGAAATGTAAGAATGAAAAAAAAAATGAGAATGAAAAAAAATATGAATAAAAAAAAAAAAACAAGGGCTAAGGTACAAGAATTTATTGCATGTTACTGAGAATATAGAGTCAAATACATGATCACGGGAGTTCTTCATGCATGGTAACTTGTGCTTGTGCGTCTGGTGTCTTACTGATCAGTCTATAAATCTATGCCTTTAATTATTTTGCATCAAAAGAAATACTTTAATCAATGTCAACGCAAAATTTATTTATTTTACTCGCATGTCATACCAATCATGATACTCATATATATAGTTTGAACTATCACTTAGAAAAAAATTACGGAATACGTGCACCGCGTATACAACTTTTTTACAAATTATACGTACTATTGTTTCATAAATGCTAACAAATAATTGTTATGTTTACGTCCAAAAATTAGTACAAAATGGCAAAAACACGCATGGCATAAAGAGTTTAATACACAATTCATGGGATTTTCTTTTTTCTTTACATTACAAAGGTCAATTGTTACATATTCCACCTCAAAAATAATAAAAATATAAATTGTTGTGTTTTATTTATCAATAATAAAAATATGACTTACAAGGTAACACAAGCATGTTAAAAGAAACATTCACATGCACATATGATGACAAAATATGTTCGAGCAATGCAAAAGTTTTGAAAGCAATAAAGAATGTAAAAGACAAAGTCCACAATGAGAATCACTTGCAAAAGTTTAAACGAAAAAGGAAAGGGAATTAAATATAAAGTGTAGCTCATATCCTTCCTTAAAAAGTTTCAATAAATCTCGAATAACTTGTTGAGTACTAATAGTACACTCACATAATTTCAATATAACTCGATTAAAGAGTCCATAATCAAGCATTACACGTTACATTATCCTAGAGTCTAATACTTTATTCCTTAAATAACCACACAACAAATCACAAAAAATGACCCATAAAAATGTAAAACGGGTAAAAAGTAATTATCTCATGTACTTGTTTTCGCAAAAAGATTAATAATTATTTTCAAGAGTCTTTACTCTAAATTCATATAGATGAGTTACATTATGAATTAGCTTACAAAGTTAAGTTACACATTTTTAGACTAAATCAACAATCGATAAAGTAATTATTTTCACCGGTCTTCGGAAAAACATTCCACATAAAAAAATAATTTTTTGCCAGACTAATAAAAATAATCAAGAAATATGTTTTCTTGATTATTAGACACAAAAAAAATAAAATGCAATTTACTAAAATAAAAGAAAAAGGAAAAAAAACCCACAAAATTTGAGGCAATGATACCAAAGATTCACGCAACTTGACAAAATCACATTTTCTCTTAAATTATTTGCAGCATTAAATGTATGCAATTAGGAAATTTTATTTTTATCTTATTTCGTTCTTCTTTTTCCCTTTTTAGTTGAGTAAATAGTGAGTTGTGCCCATTCTGGCTGTATTATTGAAGCCACGAAACCAAATTTCTTGGAACTTTAAAGAAGTTAAGATGCATATTTCCAAGCAATCAGTTGCACCATAAATTTATATGCTTTATCGTGCAATCATGTAAATTTATGGAATGGCCATCCAAGGAAAGTGCAAGTTTGTAACCGTGTTAAATTTTATCCCATCAACGTTGACTTCAAAGTTATTGGTTGTATCGCATGTCACTTCATTCCTAGAGATGGGAATAAAGTGGTCCAAAAGATTGATTCTTCTCCTAAGTTTGATAGGGATTTGATTAGATAGAATGTTGTATTGCACTAATAATTCACTAGTTGTTTGTGGTGACTTGTACATGATAAATTTGCGAAAATATGATCGATTCGCTAGTACGTGACTAGGTTACAATTGTTTGTGCATATGTTAGGTAATAAATGTTTTTTTCCCTGTATTTTTGTTGAAATTTTATTAAATCTTGATTTTTTTTTTCCTTCATAATTTGATGATACACGAATTAATTGACTAAATGGGATTATGGTACTTAAGTTGTGAACATGTTATGTTGTTAGATTCCTCTAAATAGTAATTTTTCAAGCATGAACGGACACAATTTTTGTTAAAAAAAATTAGAAAAATTTTTCGTGAATAGTTTTTAGAGAAAATTACACCGATCTCTCCCAAGGTTATTTACAATTACTGAAGCATTTTCTAGTTAAAATAAACAAATTGAAAAGAAAATTTCATTCATCTATACATATTTAGTTTACTTATAAAGTAGCTAGGTCAAACTACCAAGACAAATAAATACTAAATTTTAGTTTCTCTAACATTCTTTTTTATAAATAACTAGTGTCAGATGTGCGTTGCACGACTCGGCGTCAAGTGTATGTATTAATAATGGTTATATTGAGATAATTTTGAATCTAAAAATTATATAGTTGAACAATAGCGAAATGATAAGCATAGAGCAGAAAGATAATCCACTTTATTTTTATCTTCAAAACAACGTTATAAATTACTGCATTTAACAATTGTGTCTTGTTTTTAGCTTCAAGCTCACAGTTAAGCAATGAAAGGGTAAACTCATTATTTAATCTTCGAACTGTGAGCATCTAGAGAAGCAATTCGTTCAAGTTTTGGGGAATTCTGCTGGCCAAATAACTCGAGGATTTGCCATATTGCTGCTCCATATGATTCACCTTTAAAACCACAAAAAGAAAAAGAAACAAAAAAAAAACCTAAAATTTACAAAATTGTGATATACAATGTGGAAGACTGGAAGTCCACATAAGCCCGGATTTTGAAACAAAAAAATGCAAAACAAAAACACAAAGGAAAAAAATAAAAGATAAAAATGAAGCAAAAAGCAGAGATATTAGGAATCTGTGCAATTGAACTTTACGCAAGAATGCAAATCTGAAAGTGAGAAGACGATCGCACCATATCAGAAAAGGCATTATAACTTATTTCCAAAGGTGTCCGTTTGAAGTAAAATTTTAGGAGTTTATATGCAATTGAACTTTAAATAAGAAATAAAATATGCTTCGACATACTTTAAAGTTGGGGTGGAATGTGCTTACTTGAACAAAGGAACAATCCATTAATATCTCTGCA